TATCATTTTTTGTCTTGACTAAATCTAAAGCATGTAAGTAAATATCATATGGATCACCACTTTTAGCGCAATATTGAGCTCTCTCTTTGATGGTAAGTTTTTCATTCCTTTTATCCGGTACAAGAGCCTTGATCTGATCTTCTTTGAATAAGCGTCGACGAAGAGCTTCTTTTACGCTTTTTCGGGCTTTCCAATCTAGAAGCATAGCACCGAGCTCACTAGCATAGTCGCGTAATTGAGATGGGTTGGATTCGGCGGACAAGTTATATTTTTTTAGGATCTGGTCCAAAATGGAGGTAAAACTAATACTTTTGGGCTTTGAGGTAATTGTTTCTTTATTATATATCGGTTTTTCGATATGCATGGTTTGAATAGACATTCCGTTATTATTTAAAGATATTTTATCTCATTATATATTCGAAAAGTTTAAATACCTACAATTTCTAATACAGGGTGTTGTCCTAGACATTCCGCCAGATTTCATTCACTAAATTATCGGATGAGGCAAAAAAAAAAAAACGATACATAATTAGCGAAGCGAGCACGGCTAATATATTTTAATCTGAATTTTTATATACGATATTTGTAAAGGACGAAAAAAGCCCCCTTTACCAAAGTTTCTATTAACAAAATTTACTTCTATTATATTGATATACATTTAGTAATGATTTACAATTTACCATAACATACCATTTTCCTGGAGTATGTTAATCGTTTTTTTCCATTCCTCGTCAGTATCGAGCCATGATGATGTAATTCCTTTATCCTCGAGACCGCGTCGGATTATTTCTTCACTTATTAATCTTTCTCGCACTGTCATATCCATATATTCACTGGGATCTTCTTCGGCCTCCTTTGCATAACCACACATTCTCGCATCGGTCTGCATTCTATCACGGAATGCTATCGAATCGAGCTTATCCTTCTCAGTTATGGTAACGAATTTATCAGGATCCTCTCCAAGCTCAACAGCTTTTTGCCTTAATCGTATTTCTCGTTGCTCTCTGGTTTGATATCCGGGTGTGTATGATATCTGCTGGGGAGGTGCTTCGTTGCTGGCTCTCAGTTCATTTTCCACAGATTCAATAGGAGATGGTTCAACTTCATCATTCGCTGGTTTAATGATCTCAGAAGCTGGTTCGGATCTATCATCTACAGATTCTACATGTTCGATCTCGGGAGGCAGAGATATATCGGTAGACTTGGATGACGAAGCAACTGAATATTCTGGTTGATCTATTATTGAATCAAAGAGTTCCTGGGTCATATTAGTAATGGGTGGAGCGGGAAATGTATCCTTACCTTTTTTGATGCGATCGGTGGTCGATGACTCAGATATCTTTTTTTCTGGTTCGGGAGATGTAACAATTTCAGGTATATCGAATACAGGGATATCTGTGGACGCGTTGGAGGATATCTCGGCTTGAGGTGTGTCGGAAAATTCCTCGATATCACCTACCGATTCACGTAACTTAGCTACGATTTTGGATCGATCAAGAATATATACCCATTCTCTTTTTCCATTAATCCATACTTGCTTTTTCTCGATTCCTATCGGTGGAAGAAAACCTCCAAATTTGTTATTACTGATTCGATCTTCGCCATCATTCCCACACCAAGTAAGATAATCTTGATATAAATTTCCACAGATTGGTTTTTCGATTTGATTTTCAGGCCATGATTTAATATGTTGTATTATAAAGCGAATAGGGTTTGGGAGTTGTTTCATTATTGTATCTGTTTTCATTTTAGTGATAGGGAAATTCTGTGGACTCCACTTTGACAGATCACGGCTAAGAAGATATGACATAACTACTCCTGGCGCGTCGAAATGATCAAGAATTTTTCCTAGTCGATCAAAATATGGTATATTACCCCTACAACGTGGAGATACGTCAAAACAAACTACGCGGGCATCGCCAGCATCTATTTTGATAGGGGCATCCTGGTTACTTGTAATCATAAACCCACTGAAATCATTTAATCTTAAAGGTTCTAGACCTTTTCGTTCTATAGATACTCTTCCCTCCGTTATAAGAGATTTGAGATGACCATTGAATCTATGCCATTCCCCACTAGACATACTAGTTTCATTCATAACTACAAGCTTTTTGCCTTGAATAAGACTATTAAATTTTCCAAGAATTTTCCCCAGATCGGAAGTCGCGTAATGGAGATTTGGTCCTAATACCTTATCACCAATAAAATCAGTAATAATATTTTTTCCACACTGTTGAAGTGCAGATTTTAATACTAGAATTGAGCGAGGTTTTTTCTCCGGTCTTTGTACTAAAAATGCCCACCAGTTCCAAATATATTTATTAAGTTCCTCATTCCCGTTACAGATCACATATTTTACATGCCAGAGGATAGGATTCATGATCTTTGTATTAATCTCTTTTGCCGGCTTAGCTAGAAATCCCAAGAAGAGATTGAAGAAATTCGTCTTTGGCGGGTTCACATTTGGTGGGTATGGGTGAAAGTTGATAATGCAATATCGAATTAGGTTATTAGTAAAAGCTCGTTGTATCAATGAACTTAATTTTACCAATTCTCCGCCTAGTTCGATTATGTTGATTTCATATTTAGCAAGACTAAGTTTGGATTTCATATTAAAATAAAGTCCATCTTCTGGATGTTCAACTTTAAATAACCATGTTTCCGAGCCATCATCAACACAGGCAACTGTTGCTTGAATTGCTTCATATACTTCGTCACGAGAAAATTTTTTATTTGATGCACACATATCCAGTAAGTCACCCCATACAAAATGATCATTGGGATCGGAAATTCTAGATCGCTCTAATTTTACAAGTTTGGGGAGGTTTTTTTCTCGATCTTCGATTGATTCTTTAACGATAAGTTCCAACGATGGTTTTCTCATACCTGAGGATGTTTCTTGATCTGAACGATGACAATAGTAGCGGTAAGTTTTTTTATTTCTGATCACATATGCATTATCACTAGTGTGCTCTCATTTACAAAGTGGACAATCAGATATAGATGTACGGTTTAGAGGAAAAATGTCTGGAAGTGCAGGTGAAGGGTACAAAACTTCATAACCTTCTATTTTATATTCTTCAAGCAATCTTTCTATAAATTCTATTTCAGATCCGAATGTTCCTGCATCACTTTTATGCGAAGCATGGTCTATGGACCTACAATTATTCGATGTTTTAGGGTCTGGAACGTCTAACATTGGGCTATCTATAATTTGTGATTCATCATGCGGAGGTCGAAGCATAAAATCGAAAACAGAACTATCTTTTGGAAATAATGCTTTCTTTGGACGGATATGCTTATTTGATTTTTTATTGTGAATCAATGAGGCTCTGCCTCCACCGCTTTCATTACATTTTATTTCGATTACCTTCGGGCTATTAAGCATTCGTAAGGAAAATGAGTTTTTGTTGGCGATGTTATCAACAATTTCCTTGCTTTGTAGCCCCACCGGGAGTTTATTACGGACAAGCTCAGTAAATAATGCACAAGCTGTTATATTTTTAAGTCTCATACCGAAAGTAGAGATATGAAGTGACATTTTTTTCTTATCACTACTACTAGCAATTGTTAAAGTATGGGAATTCCAATCTGGGTATATTTCTCTACAGGTTCTTGAAAAGGCACGGCAAAGTAAATCCGGTATTTCTTTAGCTGTAAGCTTGGGTTCGATTTTATCAAATTTTTCTCTAGATAAATCAAAATCGATAAAGGGACGAAGTGGGTCATCACCATCAATGCATTCGTGTAATGAATGCCCTTGCCGTTCACTGAGTATAGCTTCTATTCCATCTTCGGAATCTGTACCGAGATATTGTCTTGGCTTTACACTATCATCGCGGAATTTATATAGATATTCGGCTACACTCTCGGCTTTGGACCCCCGGTGGTACAACGCCCCGTTATTTTCTTCCTCTAACTCTGGCTTGAAATTTTCTGGGCTCTCTGGTCGGGAAGGTGATACTTCCGCCTCTGTTGGCGCGTGATTGATGTTTTCTATTGTGGAACAATGAGCTTCGCTCTGGAAATTTTGGTTTTCCACAGTTGGTATATCGGATGATACAGGTACAATAGGCATGCTATGTTCACTTTGGGTACTCATGTTTTTTCTGAAAGTATAATATTCGGAATTAAAAAGTTCAAAATGAAAATTAATTCTAAAGAATATTGATCAGTACATATTATATACTCAATCAAGATAAACATCAAAAAGAATGGCATTTTATCGTTGTCCCTATATCCTTAGAACTGGAGAAGTCTGTAATCGGCCATGTTACCATCCCAATGGGTGCAAAGTTCACCGGGATTCACCTATTCGTTATCCTTGTAAAGAATATGGTTGTGTTAAGTTAACTTATTCCGATTATGGTTATTGTGACCCCCACGCACAGAAACATCGTAGAAGGGAGTATAATCAACAGAAGAAGCTGGAGAAGATGGCACAAAAATCAGAAGTACTTGGAGAAAATACATAGTGATATTGGCTGTCACAAGTTGTCACGAGTTCGTCACAAGTAAAAAAATCAGTAGAAAGGTGTGTTCTTGAGAGTCTGAGTTCGAAAAAAACTGTTCTCGATAACTGTCACAACTGTCACAAGTTACTTAGGTTGATTTGTCGATTCCTGCCTTATTTTTTTTTTCTATGGGTACACCATATGTATATGTATCAAAGGTATGTATATATCGGGTATATAACATATGTATATGCGCATATAACATATGTAGGTATCAGGAATATAACATAGGTAAGTATTGGGTAAGGACGAAGCTCAGTGCTTTGCAATTAGATATAGTACATATAACATGGGTTAGTATCAGGTATATATCTTATAGGTATACCATAGTGAAGATTTTTTTTTTTCTTTAGAATTCTACTATTTTACTTAAGTAACTTGTGACAGATATAAATAAGTAATCAAGAGAGAAACGAAAAGGCTCAAAACTCTCAAACAACTGTCACAAGTTCTGTCACAAGTACCTGCAAACAACTAGTGACATCTAGTGTCAACTTGTGACAAAAATTTCAGCATACTTCGATATAACATGCCATTAACGTGAGCGAAATCATACATTTCCATGCTATGTTCTCAGGACATATTTCTAATGCTAATTAGTATTAGTGTCAAAAATTTCAGCAATCAAAATCAGCATTTTCCTGAAGTGTTACTTATAGGTGACCGTCCACACATGTTGACGATGATCATGAATGTTACATGGCGGAGACTGAAAATGCAGAAATCGACCAAGATCACTAAGCTGACATATGATATCAAATGACGTATAAAATATGTTTGACCCATCAAACTCGCGACGATGCTTACACTACTTCATAACCTACCTCAGTTATTTTATTACAACGGAAATCAGTCACGGTTATCA